AAAAAAAAAAAAAAAAAAAAAAAAAAAAAAAAAAAAAAAAAAAAAAAAAAAAAAAAAAAAAAAAAAAAAAACAAAAAGAATTCATGCCAAAAAAATAAACACATCTGAACTTACTAGTTTTCGCTTTTTTCTCTTCACTCCAATAATCTTGTCAATGATTTATGTAATATTTGCTCGAAATCTTGCTGTCGAATTTAACGCAGGGATATGAAGTAAAATTGGAACCATCCGAAGAAGATCAATTGCCTGTTGCGCATAATAATTCCCATGAAGGTAATAGGAATGAGTATCTTATGTCCATACAACAAACGTACGATGTTGCGAAGATACTATGAATTTGGATTTTTTCTAAGCACCACAACATTGATCGTTCTTCATTATAGGTCACAACAATCATGTACAACGAGCATCCTCGAGTAGTAGTGTTCAACACATGCAAGAACGTAGGACGGCTGCAAATGCTACAAATGCTTTATATATTGGTGAATTGAACTGGGTAATTGAAATTTTTTTTAGCATTGTAAAAAAAATATATATAGTGTTAGGCTGATGCTTTATATTTTATTAGTGGACCACTGACGAAGACCTTCGTAATGTTGCTCGTGAGGTTGGGGTTGCGAATGATGTGACTGAAATCACCTTTTATGAACATAAAGTGAACGGAAAATCTCGAGGGTAAAAAAAATTTTACAAAAGTACATTTATTTTCAAAGCAGTTTTATGATAAAGGCTGAATCATTGTATTTTTTTTCTTTTAATGTAGTGTTGCATACGTTGAATTTACAACGCCAGAGGCGGCAAGCAAGGTTAAAGACAGACTAGAAGAAGTGTGAGTTTTGCTCAACTATTTTTTTTTTATGATCTCAGGAAAAAAGTTAATCTATTACAAAATTTTTAACTTAGTGAAATAACTGGTAAAAAATGTCTTGTGAATTTTACAAGCTCGGCTAATGGTAATCCGTTTAAAACAGTTCCAAAAGGTAAGTTATCGACATTTTTTATGCATTTAAAATATAATCATTTTCACTTTAATGTTTGATATTTTTACTCTTACTGTATATATTACTGATTCCAGAACCTCCACCAAAAGCTTCACGCCAGATAATGCAACAACAGCAATCTGCTTCACAACAAAGAGCCGCATCGGGTCTTCCCATTCGTCCAGTTATGCGACCAGGTTCACTGGATTTTCATCCTCATCGAAGTGGATTCAGAGCCGGACAAATGGTTTCTGGTCCAAGAGACTTTTTCACCCCCCCAATCGCACCAGCATATTCCGGATTTGCGGCCGGTCGTGGTTCGTATATGAATGGTTTCGCTGGTACCGGAGATGCATCTTTTGCCATGAATCCAATGATGGCACGTGGCGGAATGATGGGTATGAGAAATCAACAAGTTGGACCTGTTCGCCGTGGATTAATGAGCGGCCGAGGTGTAATGCGCGGAGGATATGGTGACGAATTTATGGGCGCTAATATGGGCGGTTTTAATAGTAATTATTTTAACATACATCTTGTAATCGAAAAAAATGGGCTATCTTTATTAAAAATTTACAATATGTTTCGTGTTTAATGGAATTTAAGCACCGACGGGCCCAGGATTTCCAGCACCTCACTTTAATCCAGCATTTTTTGATCAAGGATTTGGCGGCGAAGATGTACCTGTTGCACCGCGAGGACAAAGGTATTTCCCCTAAATGATCGACCGCTTTCCTGCAATTTCCGCTATGGAGGACTATAAAAATTTCCGACTCTTACGATGCATATGATCTTAAATCAAACCACATAGAGGTTACGATGGAGTCACTCATGGTATGAAAAGATCACGTGATGATGATGATCATGGACACATGGATGGAAGAGGTAATTTTTGTTAGACATTTTAATAAAAATGCGCGATCCGAAATATTCGTTCATATATTAAGGAAATAAAGTATTAGTGTATACTTTATTCCCCATTAGACTTGTATAACATTAAAATAACGAATACATTGATATTGATTGTCACATGTTTCCATTTTATACATCAGATCGTCGATACTGAACTCGAATTAATGTCTCTACCATGTATCCATGTCCCTCCATTTTCATTTCATGAATTGACCCATCTAACTTCCAAGTGGCTCGCATCTTTTTTTTTTTTTATATTCTAGATACATAGTTGGAGTTGGATGCGTAAAATTTCTAACCTTGTTTTTTCAAATGCCGAATAATTTTAGTATCCATTATTATCTCTATTTTGCTTAAATTTATTAAAGTACATGACAGTTTATATATAACAAAAAATACTATTATCTTTTTATATAATTGTGGCATAAATAAATATATCTATATACAAAATCAAATAATTTACGTTAAAAATTTTTTGCAGTTATTTTGTGTTACATATAAATTTTAAGTTGTAGTACATTAAATATTAAAATTTCTGGATGATTCCAGTGCAGAATCGATTTTTTTGATAAGCAGCCTTATTGGCTTAAATTTTATGGTGCAACATATATAAATTCGGAATTAGAACTCCACGTCGATATAAAAAATCAGTAAAAAAATTTGCTCCTCTCAATTAAAATAAAACCAATTGTATATTTTCATATTTCCCTTTATTAATACTAAACATGCCTATCGATTATAGTAAGTGGGACAAACTTGAACTTAGTGATGACGACGACTTTGAATGTCACCCAAATGTTGACAAAGCCTCTTTTATAAGATGGAAACAAGCTGATATTCATCAAAAACGCGAAGAAAGACGTCAAAAAATTCAGGATCTTAAACAAAAAATCGCGCAGAATGAGGTTTTATTTTCTCGAATCGATGATATGATAAAACAGATTGAAAAGAATGGCGTAGATGCATTCTTGAAATCAATAAACGAATTACGCGAAGCAAACA